GAGGGAGCTGACCACAGAATAGAACAACTTACATCCCTCCACCTGCGCACACACACACAAAACCTTTGTTTTAACTTTGCCAGGTGCAACTTCCCATTCCCACTGCCTCCCTCTGGCCTGGGTGTGTGGAGAGCTGATAATAAATTCCTTTGTTTTACTTTGCCTGGTTCTCCGCCTTTTTTGCCTTTCTACCTCACACTTACAAGTGGTATAAAATTCTGCTAGTAAACATTCAAGCAAGTTGCTTAGACAGGCAAAATGTCAATCTACTTTGCCTCAAAAATTATGAACTTAATCATATTTAACTCATGAAGTTTACTTAATAAGATTAAAGACCATATTGATGGTGGGAACATTAATCAAATTATATAAATACTCATAAAAAATTCACCAAGGATCTATGATTTGACATATTTTTCTCCACATATTCTCCCCACCCAGTGCCCACTGTTGATATAGTTGGTAATTGCTGTAGAATTGATCCCAATAAATGGAGATGAATTAGGGTTGTCAATCCATTTATGTTAGCCTAGAACTACTTCATGGGGTTTTCAAAGCTATGATCTTTTGAAAGCAGATGGCCCATCCTCTCTTCTGAAGATATAACTACCCATAAAACACAAATATCACTATCCTCATTTTTTTGTTTGCTTGTTTTTTTCCATTAGTTAAACTGATCCTCAAAAAGGTCAAGTTATTGGCCTCAATCACCCAATTAGTAAAGGCAGAGCTGAGATTTTCATATTTGGGTTATTTTTAACTGATTTATATTTCTAGTTCCACAAACAGTAAAAATAAAGCAAATAAATGGATACAGCATTGGATTAAAATATAACATCCTCTGGGGTTTTTGCTAATCATGAGAGTGTCATAATGTTCTTCTTCAGTGGTCTGTACTTGATAAGATAGTGATTAACCAGCTTTTTCAAGAATAAACTCTCTCTATATGAAACAGGATCACACATGCACACAAAACATAGTACAGATCTAGGAAGACCCACTGCTCTTTTGTCTAGTGTTTTTTTACATGTTGCACTGTCATGGTGTTCTTTGTAGGAGCTCTGGTAGTGTAGTGTGTTAATGTTGTACTGCTAACTGAAAGGTTAGTAGTTCAAATCCACCAGCTCCCTCCTTGGCAGCAAGATGGGGAGTCTCTTCCTGTCAAGATTTACAGCGTCAAAGGATTGCTATAAGTTCAGATTAACTCAATGGGAGTGGGTATGGATTTTGCCTTTATTGTTAGAAAGAACAAGCAATGTGGACAACTGTAAAACAACCAAGAGTACACTGGTAACTGCAGAGTTCAGGGGGTGAAGGCAGACCAGCATTCTATTCCCAGCCAATACACTTCATGTGCACCCACTACTTATCTGCCAGTGAAGGCTTGCACATACTGTTAAGATGCTGGACAAGCTTCAGCAAAGCTTCCAGACTAAAATGGACTAGGAAGAAAGACCCAGAAGTCTATTTCCAAAATATAAGCCTCTGAAAACCCTATGCATCATAGTGGTCTAATAACACTTTGGATAATTCACTATGACTAGGGGGTCCACTTAACGGTAGCTAACAACAACTAGCAAGTTAATGTGGAATTAAGTAGTGAACAACTGCTTATAGTGACAGCGTCATGGCTGACTATACATACCTTCAATACTGATGGTCAATACCAAGCCTGTCATTTGACTTCCAGGACAAAGGCATTCAGATGCTTCTAGTCTTGACATTCGAAAATATTTATACAAAGAAATCCTAACCTGCTGAATATATTGTATAAACAACTTACTCTCACCTCACTGCTGTCAAGTTGGAACTGACCCATAGCTGATCCTTCAGGGGGTTTTCAAATGTTGTAAATTGCATGGAAGGGTGACCATCTTTCTCCTGAGGAGCAGCTGATAGGTTTGAACAACTTGTCTTTGAATTGATAGTCTAACGTATTACCCACTAGGTCAGCAGAGCTCCCTTTTGTAACAAGGAAAGGTTAAATGAATGTGTTGGTAATTATCATAATACAATCCTAAAGTCATGTACTGTTTAAACATTCATCACAAAACAAAAAAAAATTACTAACTACCAGATTCTCTAAATACATTTAGCAATACAGAGTCTGAAAATCATTAATAAAAAATGAACTATAAGTACATCCAGGAAGCATCAAAAGAAGATGGAAGGAATATATAGACTCACTATATCAGAAAGAACCAAGAGCCAATGGTAATGAAAGAGGAAGTCCAAGCTGCTCTAAAGGAAATGGCAAAAAAAACAAGGCCCCAGGAATTGATGGCATACAAATTGACATATTTCAACAGAGTCTGCCCTGGACAAGCTCAACAGTTTGTGCCAAGAAATCTGGAGGACAGCTAGCCTGGCCAACTGACTGAAAGAGATCCATACTGATTCTCACTTGTGCAAAAAGTGATCCAATAGAGTATGGGAAACATCAAACAATATCACTACTATCACACACAAGCAAAATTATGTGGAAGATTATCCAAAAATGATTGGAACAGCACATCAACAGAGAACTGTCAGAAGTGCAAGCTGGGTTTAGAAGAGGCTGTGGCACTAGGGACATCATAGCCAATGTCAGATGGCTCTTGGAAGAAAGCAGAGAGTACCAGAGAAAAGTAAATCTGTGTTTTTACTAAGTATATAAGGCATTTGACTATGTCGATCATAAAAATTGTGGTTAACCTTGACAAAAATGGGAATCCTAGAGCATCCAAATGTGCTCATGCAAAACCTATAGTTGGATCAGGAAGGGTTCATCAGAACAGAGCAAGGATATACTGCATGGTCCAAAATCAGGAAAGGAGTGTGTCAGGGATGGATCTTGTCTCCATACCTTTTCAATCAATGTGCAGAACAAATCATTTGGAAGGCTGGAGTTTATGAGGAGGAATGTAGCATGAAGACTGGAAGAAGACTCATCAACAACTTGTGTTCTGCAGATGGCACAATCTTGCTCACCGAAACTGAAGAGGACCTGAAGTGTTTGCTGCAGAAGATCAAGGTTTGCAGTCTCCAAATGGATTAAAACTCAACATCAAAAAGGCAAATATTTGCAGCTTCCAAAAACCCACTGGAGGGTCAGCTAGGTTTAGCAACATAACAGTACAGACTATACCACCAAAACACCCTAAGAGAACTTTTCTGGCCCACAATTCCACTTTTGTATAAGTACCAAAAAGACTTGAAAGCAGAAACTCAGAATCTCTTCTTTAAGATTTTATTTCTTTTTAAATTTTTTTACTTGAGTAAAAGTCTACAAATAATTTTAAAAAAGCAAAGACTATGCCATTGGTACAATTGGCAGCATCACAATAGATGTAAAAGAGACTGGGATTGTTGACAATTACAATTTGCTTGGTTTCATAATCAACAGTCTTGCTACCTGCAGTCAGGAAATCAGAAGACAAATTTCATTGGGTAAATCTGCTGGCAGGGACCTCTCTAAAATGCCAAAGAGAAACAATGTTAGTCTAAAGACTAAGGTGCATTTAATCCAGGCCAAAGTCTCAATTATTTGCTATGCATCAAAGAGCTGGAGAATCACGAAGGATGATAAAAGAAGAATAAATGCCTTAGAGTTTTGGTGCTGGAGAAGAGTACTGAACATCCCATGGACTGTTAAGAGAACAAACAGGTCTTTTCTAAAGAGGGTGAAACCAAGTTGTTCTCTGGTGGCAAGGATCTTGAAGCTCTATCTCACATACTCTGGGCATGTTGCCAGGAAAGACCAGTCCTTGTAAAGGGACATCATGCTTGGAGGGGTAGAGGGACAGTGCAGGGAGAAAGATCCAAGATGAATTGACATAGTAACTGAGGTAATGAAGGCAGGTGTGCAGGCAACAGTGCGATGTCTCAGGATAGGGAAGTGTTTGGAGCTGTTGTGCATGTGGTTGCTATGAGTCACCAATGACACGATGGCACATAACAACAACTCTAATCTTAAACAACAGTAACAAAAAGTCTATAGTTAGAAAGTTCAATAATATGGTGGTGGTGGTATGTACCAGAGAGTCAAAATCAATCCACAGTTGACCCTTCAGTGGGTTTACAGAGGCAATTAATCACATGGGAGGAGAATGCCCATCCTCCCACAGAGGGGCTGGTGGCCTCGAACAGCGTGCCTTTAGGATTGCAGTGCAGCTTCTTGCCACAGGCCATCAGAGCTCCCACTCCAGAAATTATTTATTTACTCAGGTAAAATCCTTATCACTTTTATACTATTTCCTTTGGTGTAGTCTAGTAAATTAAGTCCTAGGATACTCCTAGTAAATTTATCACTTAAAGGAAGGAAGGTATTTACAGAAGGAAGGAGGAACATTCATTTCATTATAAATTTAAAAAGCACTTGGCCAAGTAACATTCAGCTTTCTTACATCTTCCTTCCTTTGGCAATCTCTAGCACTACTAGAAAGTAGAAATTGTCTAATGGGGTGATAATGTCATGGTCTGACTCCAGTTATAATTCTTTTATGCTGGACATGAATTTCCATGAGAATGTTATGTGTATTTATCTGCCGTAAGAAGAATAGAAGGGAAGGCACAGACATAGAGCTACCATCTGCGTCCCTCCCCCAGCATCCCTGGAAATGAAGACAGGGTGGGAGTTTCTCCTAGAGACAAGAGCAGAGTGTACTTCACAGTGCCTCCACCGAATAGTCTGCAGCAAGCAACATTTGGGCCTCACACATTGACAAGCAATACAGGCATGCTGAATATAGAAGCCCTGCAATAGTAGCACCACATTTCACTGTCAAGGTTCTAGATTTCAGAACAGAGGCTGCAAATTAGACCTCATGCAACCTGAATTCAGCTTCATTCCTCACAATGTCTTACTATGGATACAACCTCCTCCAGTGTCCCACAATTCTCACCACTCCTTTTTGTCATTCCTGGCCCACTACATGAATTCATTTTACCGCCTAGTATATTTTGGGCACTGGAGTTGGCAAACAGTAGTTGGCATTCATCAATTAAAACAAGGTACTTACAGTTGCATGACCAAGTACAAGTGATTGGGGCTTTCATAAATATCTTCCAGGGCAACGATGTTTTCATGTTTAATCCTAAAAGAAAAACACACAGACACAATAGTAAGTACAACTAGACATGACAAATTTTAAACAACAGGTATCGTAAGAGCAAAAAGTGCAAGTATCAGCAGGAAAGCCAAATGGAAAACTTAAAACTTTACAATGTTGTCCTCAGAACCTCTCCAGACCCTTTCTTCAACACCCAAACCAAAGCTATGGGATCAAGTTTTCAATGCTCTCTTTACCAGAGGAAATAGCCCTCTTTCTTCTGAAGAAAAGCTAGTAGATTTGAACTAGTGAACTCTTGCTTAGCAGTATAACATGTAACACTCTATGTTATCAGAGCTCTTTTTAGTTCTTAATATTCTCCACTTATTCCTGTTCTGCTAACTGTTCCTCTCCAAGTATACTGCAGCCTCCCTGCATTTACCCAATTGTACTCCTAGTGGGTAAGGAGTTATGTTGTCAAATCCAGGTGTACACAGTTCAAACCCACTAGCTACTCCAAGGGATAAAGCTACTCAATCCCCTCTTTTGTGATTTACAGGCTCTGAAAACCTTCTAGGGGGTCAGCTCTGCCAACAGCAACATTGTAGGACTGAGGTAGAGTAAAATATTTCTCCCTAATAACATTTCTTACAGGGCCCAAATCACCTACTAGTGATTCATTCAAAATGTAATCAGTCACTCTTCAAAGTGTTTCTTTCACGATCACAGATTGGTCAGAGCCAAAGTATGACTTTACAGTACTTTCAGTAAGTTAGGATTCCCCCCACCTCTAAGTTTGTTTTTTGTTTTTATTTTCTATCTGTTTGCTTACAAAGTTCATTCACATTGTGTTTCATACAATCACTACTGCTAATTATGTTTTATAAAATTAATCACCATTGCCTACAACCAGGAGAAGATAAAATAGATGAATGGGATAATCTAAGAATCAAATTCCTATGCAAATCCAAAAACTTCTCCAACAGGGTAAAAGGGGAAGCCACAGACTGGGGAAAATTATTTGGTAATGACATATTAGATAAGGGACTTATATCCAGAATTTATAAAATACTTGAGCACCACAACAAGATAAAGGTAAATATTCCAATAGAAAAATGGGCACAGGATATGAACAGACCACCAAAGAAGACATTCAGATGGCTAAAAAGCACATGAAGAAATGTTCAAAATCCCTAACTCTAAGAGAGATACAAATCAAACAATTATGAGGTATCATCTCACCCCAGTCAGAACAGCAAAATTTAACAGAACAGCAAGCAACAAATGCTGGTGAGGTTGTGGAGAAACTGGAACCCTGGGAGTATAAAATGGTGTGCAATCATTGTGGAAAGCAGTATGGAGCTTTCTCAAAAAGTTGTGAATAGAGATACCATTTGACCCAGCAATTCCACTACTGGGAATATACCCCCAAAAGACCATAACTGACATCCAAGCAGATATATGCACACCCATGTTTAT